ATGCTGTCGAGTGGCCGTGTGTTCAGTCTCTGTATGAGGTAATTAAGCTTCGATTCAGCATTAACAATAGTTGACACCAGGAGGAAAATATCGGAATAAAAAATAACCCATATCAGCCAAGCAATGAGGATGACGACAACGTAAATGGTCGAGACGTTGTGTCTATAATAACATAGATATATAATAACATGTATATAATATACCTATATATAAATAACAATATTTCGAAGTAATATGTATGTTAATAACTATTTATGCATTACGACTTGCTCATTTCAATCTATTCCCAGCCTATTAATATCTATCTATCTATTTATCTATCTATCTATCTATGTCAGTCTGTTCATTATCTATCTATCTATCTATCAATGTATCTATCAATCTATCTATCTATCCATCTATTACAGTTTGTCCATATCTATCTATCACTGTATTTTCATATCTTGCTATTTGTCTATCGGTCTGTCAGTGACAGTCACTATCTATCTATCTATCTGGCTAGCTATGCCAGTCTGTTCATTATCTATCTATATATCAATCCATCTACCTACTATCTGTCTCTATCTATTGAAAGATGTCCAAATCTATCACTGTATTAACATATCTTTCATTTTTCTATTTGTCTATCTATCTCTCATATCTATCTATCTACAGTGACACTATCTCTATGTCATATCTATCTATCTATCTATTCATATCTATCTATCTATCTATCTATCTATCTGTTCATATCTGTTCATATCTATCTATCTCAGTCTGTTCATATCTATCTATCTATCTATCTATCTCAGTCTGTCTATATATCTATCTATCTATCTCAGTCTGTTCATATTATCTATCTATCTATCTATCTATCTATCTCAGTCTGTTCATAGCTATCATCTATCTATCTCATCTGTTCATATCTATCTATCTATCTCAGTCTGTTTCTATCTATCTATCTATCTCAGTCTGTTCATATCTATCTATCTCAGTCTGTTCATATCTATCTATCTATCTATCTCATCTATCTATCTATCTCAGTCTGTTCATATCTATCTATCTATCTATCTATCTATCTATCTATCTATCATCTAGTCTGTTCTATCTATCTATCTATCTATCTATCTATCTATCTCAGTCTGTTCATATCTATCTATCTATCTATTTATTTCTGTTTGGTGATATCTATCCTCTGAAGAAAACTCAAAGAACAAGCCAAAAGAAAGAGAAAAAAAAGACGAAAAGAGGATTATGAAAGAAATAAGCGGAAAAAAGAAGGAAGAAAAATTATTGAAATAAAAAGGTAAAGCAGAAGCACGCAAGCAAGAAAGAAAGAAAGAAAGAAAAGGTGGAAGGAAGGAAGGAAGGAAGTAAGGAAGGAAGGAAGGAAGGAAGGAAGGAAGTTAAAATAGATATTAGACTCAGAGATCAAACAAAAGAACGAAATCAAGCAACAATCAAACAAACAAAAGAAAGCGAAAATAATGGAAAACAGAAAGGAAAAAAAGAAAGAAAGAAAACGAAATGAAACTAATATTAAATTAAAATTAAATTAATATTAAATTAATATGTCAAAGCAAAAGGAAGAAAAATTAAAATTTTAAATAAACGATATGAAAATTTGTTACTTTTCCCAAAGTTGCATAATATATTCTCGACTGCAAATCTTTTCCAATTTCTACTTCATTTATTTCAGATGGTGTCAGGGTTCAAAGGGGCAAATCTTTTAGACCTAATGTCCTGAAGAATTTGGCGCTGATCCTAATTCTTTGACACTTCACCTTTCTTCCTTTCGATGCCTCCTCCTTATTCACGTCTGCCGTATGTTTTCAGTTTATGAAGAGAATAAGAGACATCAAGTCTTTTGATGTAGAAGGAAACTCGAAGATCAACGGGAATAGAATTGGAAAGGTCAGTAGATCGGTTTGGAGCGAAATAGGGAGAAAGTGGAATAAAGGTCGAGCGAAAATATCAAAGAAATTTACCGCTAAAAAGTAAAAATGAAAGAAAAATGTAAAACGAGAAAAACATACAGAAAAAAAAATGTCCAACGAAAAAGAAGTCTTTTCAGTGAGAATAAAAAGATGAACAGGAAGGAAAAAATGAAATAAATTATTCTTTACATTATTTACATTGTTCGGACTGTTGTCCTCATCTTCGTTGTCATAATCACGACGTTTAGACCGTTGTACGCTCCGGCCTTCTTCTATATCTGTCTATATTTCTGAGATGAGGTATTGTAATTATTTACACTATTTACATTGTTCGGACTGTTGGCCTCATCTTCGTTGCCATATTCACGACGTTTAGACCGTTGTACGCTCCGGCCTTCTACGATATCTGTCTATATTTCTGAGATGAGGTATTGTAATTATTTACACTATTTACATTGTTCGGACTGTTGTCCTCATCCTTGTTGCCATATTCATGACGTCCCGGACGTTGTACCCTCCGGCCTTCTCTAGGGGATTGGAATTACGAACTGAACCCTTTATTTCGTTCTAGTTTCACGTGCCATACCACTTCCGAATGTTTTAGAATCAGTTATCTCCCTTTAACTATTACAGTACCTCATCTCAGAAATAAAGACTGATATCTAAATTTGAAACTCTCAAACTGTATCATCAATTCTTAAAATCCTGGTTTTCACGTAAACTTCTGCTTATTTCTACGTTTACTTGTTCAACCCTCTGTCTATAAATAACTTTTCTAGCTTCTTTTTTAATCATCACATCTACTTTTTTGTTTTTATTCCAATTTGAACCTTTCTGCCTGTATAATCCTTCCTTATTCGCATTCACCTTTCATTCTTTTTCTTCCTCTTTTGCTTCTATTTTAATTTAAAAGTCTCTGCGTATATTATATTACCTTCTTACAATACGTTTTCCATCTCAGCTTCTCCTATATTCCTTCTCTTCTTTTCCTTCTTTAAATTTTAATCTCTCGTTATATATAAATACATATAAATATAGATATCTAGACTCGTTTCCAAAAACCTAGGTTTCACCTAAACGGATCGTCAGGGAAAGTTTGGCCAAACTTTCCCTGACGATCCGTTTAGGTGAAACCTACAAAGGTTTGTCTGGCTCACTAGCTGTATCTATCTATATATATATATATATATATATATATATATATATATATATATATATATATATCCATTCTTGCCATCCGTTTTTCACATCCTAATCTTCCATTTATTATCAGGTGCGCCACAAAAAAGTTTTTGCCGATTTTTGTTAACTTATTTCTGGCCTAGCTGTTTAGTTACTAACAATCATTAGTATACAGAAAGTAACTTGTATTAACAAGTACATTGTTAAATGATTCAGTTATTATTTTATTATATAACTAATATTTTTGTTGAAACTTGACTAATGCATGGAATAATAATACAACACAAAATGTACTTAGAACAAAATGTATTGAAACAAGAAAGTGTACACAATATTTACATATAGTCTTTTGTATATTCCTGGTAAGACCGTTCCTGGAGAATGGGTTGACTTAGTCGCAGTCGGGCAGAGTCTCTGGTTGAATCTCTTGATTCCTCCCTCTCTTCCCGGTACCAACCATATTTATATGGTCGGTACTCCACTATGCAAATTAGGTGGATCCTACCACAACAATTCTATTTCCCATTTCAGATCCCTCGAAATGACTGATAAAAAAATTGGTAATTCATGCTTGTCTGTTGTCTGAATTTAAACTTGGTACAAGTGCATCATGTGCACTTCGTAATCTATGTACAGCCCTTGACGAAGGTGCAGTAAGTGGACGAACTGCACGTAATTGGTTTCAGAAGTTTCATCGTGGCAATGAAACCCTCGAAGATGAATCTCAAACTGGATGACCAATATCCCTAAACTATGAGGATTTTAAAGCAACCATAGAATCAATTTCAGGTTTAACATGACATGACCTAGCTTTGAGGTTTAATGTAAGCGATGAAACTATAAGACTGCATTTGCACCATGTGACGTCGCCCCTCCTTGGTCGCAGCGTCGACTCTGTCGTTCGATCTCGTTCGCGGCTCCAACTGTGACGTGACGTGATGTGGCCGCCCAAGGGTCGATCCTTGTCACGGACAGCACCAGTTGTGACGTTTTTTGCCGCGGCGTCAGCTGTTCGCTCCTCGCTGCTCCAAGTGTGACGTTCCAACCCTCTGGTTAGATGATTACCAGCCTCGCCGTTCTCAACTCGCTTCCAACACCTGGTTACTAGGGTAACTGTACTGATCTCCGGTCTGCCTACCCACGTTGTGATTAGATCCTAGACAGACGAGATCAAACAGGAGTCGGGGCCGTATGCCAGCTGGGTTCAACGGGGGTGGCAACACACAAGTAAAAGAAAAAAAAACTCACGAGGCAAAAAAATTACTGATAAGAAAGGGTAACAACCTTTTATATCTAATGTTCGTTACATAAAAATTATTCTTACTTCCCGACCCGTTTTGTGGACTGTGGCACCAAGCTTCTATCATACAATTTAAAGACTTCGAGTTGCCTACTCTCTAGAATTTTGTATGTCGGAGTGTGGTTTGGTTTCGACACTGGGCGCTAATCTCTACCAGTCGTTCACGGCTGATTCTTCTCTTCGGCTTGTGTTGGACGAGCTTATTCGCTTCGGCTTGAGTTGGACGTATTTCTTCACTTCGATTTGGGTTGGACGAATTTCCACCCTCAGGCTTGGCCTGGTTTCAACTTCTTCTAGACGCAACTGCAAGTAACTTCTTCTTCTTCCGTCCTGCAACTCTTCTCGCCAAGGTCCGAACTCTTCTCTCTGCCGTCTGAGGTGATCTCTTCTCTCTGCCTTCCGGGGCTGAACTGAGCTCTCTGTCGTCCGGGGCTGAACTGTTCTGCTTGTTTGGCCTGCAACTTTACTGCCTGTCTGGCCTGCAATTCTTCTGCTTGTCTGGCCTGCAGCTCTTCTGCTTGTCTGGCCTGCAGCTCTTCTGCTTGTCTGGCCTGCAGCTCTTCTGCCTATCTGGCCTGCAATTCTTCGGCCTGTCTGGCCTGCAATTCTGCTCCAACTTCTCTGCGGCTTTCGAGCAATTTTCTTCTCTTCGACATGGCTGCAACTTCTCTGCCTGTCCGGGCCAAACGGACCGACCCTTCTTGCCCGCAAGGGGCGAATGAACAGGGCCCGCCGTCCGCTCTCCAACTGCTCTGGCCGTCTACCCCGCAACTCTCTGATTTCTGTCGGTTGGGGTTCTGCTTTTATTGACGCCGCAACAAACTGGGGTGGGTCTGTCGGCGTCAGGGTTCCTTGATAATTCCAAAAGTCGCATTAGTTCTGATTTCCCATTATCGCTCTTATTTTCACCCCCCCTACTTCCTCACAGTGCCTCTGGGGGGAGGCGCATACCCATCTCTCCCGGTCTCTCGTATGTCAGGTGACCGTTTTCGACCAATGGGTCCTTGTCGAGCGTCCTTTCTCCTCTTTCTCGCATATCACGTGACCGCTTTCGGCTAATGAGATTCTGGTTGGGCGTCTCCCGTCCTTCGTGACGTCTCCAATCGGTCGTGGTCTATCCCGGCTTTGTTCTGGGAAAGAAAAACACCTTGCTAAAGAAAACAAAATCCAATTTGGCCTTTTTCGCACGCACGAAAATGACAATCTCGGCCTTTCTCACCTTTTGGTTTTTGTCAAAACAGCCCGCCGCTAATTAGATGTGACTTCAGGAAGAATTTTTCTCGTCTCGCTGGCGCTTTCTGTGAGCCAAAACAATTTTTTTCATTCCTTTATTTTCGTCCAGGCCTGACAGTCAAAAACTTAATTATCTGAATTGAAAAATATTCTCACTTCATCATCGTGGGGGTTCTAATCTTCAACAGGTCAGGATCTGTATACAATTCCAGCGGTCACCTTCTCATTCCAAAGACACCCCATTCCGATTAATATTTCGTTTTCCATTGTTCTAAAAATCCCATTTCTCCAAATTGATAATGAGCTTCTACATTCCGTGGACACAAAAGTAGGCCAGATGTTTTGACCGATATTTTTATCAATCGTACGTATGTTCATCCACTTTTACCATGTCCGTTCATTATCTCTAAACTTACTCTTTCAAATAACAATTTCCATTGTTCTTGAAATTCGGTCAGGCGCGTTGGCCTAGATATCTCTTGACACCTGTTTTCGCTTATGACCGGCTTATCTATTTCTCCTCCTCTCCTTTTCTTTTCTTCTTCTTCCCTTAGGATCGCCTAAATACAATTAGAGAAATATTCTCAAAATTTAATTACTCTTCGT